ACAGAATGATCGTGGAGATGTTAGCGAACAAAGTAATCCAGCCGTCACAATCCCCATGGGCCGCTGCGATAGTGCTTGTTAAAAAGAAGGATGGCCGACTCAGGTTGTGCGTAGACTACAGAAAGCTAAATGAGGCGACTAAGAAAGACCGTTTTCCGTTGCCAGTTATGAAAGATATTTTTGAGGCTCTTTCAAGAGCAAAGCATTTTTCAACGCTTGACCGCGCATAAGGATACTGGCAAGTGGAGATAGAAGAAAGGGACAGGGAGAAGACCGCGTTCGTCTTTCCAAATGGGCTATATGAATTCCAAACAATGCCTTTCGGTCTAACGAACGCCCCGGCCACATTCCAGCGGTTGATGTCGTCAGTATTAAGAGACCGCGTCCCACACAAGTGCCTCGTGTATCTTGATGATGTGGTAGTACACGGGAGAACGGAGGAAGAGCATTTGACGAACTCGAAGGCCACATTCGACTGCTTCCGTAAGATTGGCCTGAAGTTGAAACCCGGGAAACGTAACCTTTTCGGAAAAGAAATTCAGTTTTTGAGCCACGTCATTTCAGCTGATGACATTTAAACCGACAGGAAAAAAGTAGAAAAAGTGGAAAGCTGGCCACAGCCTTGTAATTAGTCACAGCTCTGCAGTTTTATGGGCCTAACATCATACTACCGGCGATTTGTCCGTCGCTTCTCCGGGATTCCCCCCCCCTCTCTCACAATTGCTACAAAAAGGAACCATATTCAAATGGACGACAGAATGAGACAATGCCTTCAATACCTTGAAGAACGCTCTATCTAATGCACCCATCTTGGCACTGTCGGATCTAAGCCACAAAGGCGGTGAATTCATCCTTGACACGGATGCCAGTGAAGGCGCTATTGGTGCAGTACTCTGTCAGTTGGACAACACCGGCAACGAAACAGTGATCGCATACGGAAGCCGAAACCTAAGTCAACAAGAGAAGAATTACTGTACAACGAGGAAAGAAATGCTGGCTTTGGTACATTTCCTGAAGAAATACCGACACTACTTGTTGGGTAGACGTTTTCTGGTTCTCACCGACCGCCAGTCATTATTGTGGTTGAAGAATTTCAAATGTCTCGAGGGCCAAGTTGCCCGATGGCAAGAGAAACTTCGAGAATATGACTTTGAAGTCCCCACCCGACTAATCACGGTTCGAGTCCTGACAGGAACACAGAAAAGTACGCACTACTGACGAGTCCCAAACAGGATGAAACAGCTGTCTAGTGCTCTTTGTTGATTATCACAAACATTTCTATCGCATATTCCAATGAAATTTGCCGTAAGTAAACAAAAACTCATAAAGCTTTACGGCTTTCCTCGCAAATGGCCTTGCGGTATAAGAAGCTGATTAATATCGGGGTAAGGTTCTCTCACCATTACAATACCGTTCAAAGTTCAGTCAAGATTCAAGATTCAAAAGTCTAGAGGATTTGAAGTTGTGTAAAATCAGATTCTCTTAGAAATTATCCACGTTTTTGTAAGGGTAACGCCAGCCTGAAAGCCAAGTGCGTTTGTGCTATGTTGAAGTTGTTCAGGTTTTTGCAAACGTGTAAAACAGTAATTGATAATGATTCTTTCAATTGTACTTAGTCACCATACAATTAAACAGTCAGCTTTTGAATAAAGGAAAATCGATAAGTCAGAAGAATGCCCCCGGGAACACAAATCCTGGTGAAATTTTGTTGTTGCTACTGAGTTTCGAATACATGCATGTCCTCCGGGTCGATTTGATGTTAAGCTAGACTACGTCGGTTACCTAAGTATTGGTTCGTCAAAGGACGCGAATGAAAACCTTCTACTGTATCAAAGTAGTTTTTGGTAAATAAGCAATTATCAAGAATTTTCCTACTTTCTACTTCATGAATAAATGTAAAACTCATTTTTAGGATGAAGATTCCGACTGTCAGCAGGGAAAAAAAGAACGCGGAAACTGTCGATTGGAACGGATTTGTAAAACACACTCCATGCTGCCGAAAATCTATTGATACATACTACTCGATCAATAATCACAATAATCATGAATCATGAATCTATCGCTTCTCATCGAGCCAACCGGATTCAACGCCTGTCACCAGATAGGTTGGCATGGCGAGCGATGTTATCTGAGGCAAGCGGTGGGTGAAAAAAAGCCAAGGGTGATAATAATAAGACCTGGTACAAGGGTATGAAAACCCCAACCAGGGGGCTCGATCATATATAGGTCGTGTTAGGCTCTCTGGATGGGAACCACGAGATCATTGCAACCTTAGTGTACTGAAATTTTCCATTTTCTCTTTAACCTTACTTTCAACCTTCCTATCTCTTTCCTATCACACTTCATCCAAATGGGCAGTCAAGTGATAGCAATCTAAACCGGTGCTCGAAAGTACACAGATAATAGTCATACAAACTGAAAACTGAACTGAACTGAAATTGATTTCTGCAGATAGTTTTTAAATCACACCTATTCCAAGTGATTGATATCATTAAATCCTAGTCAACACCACACTTATTTTGGTATTGATAACATCAATATCTTCAAGAGAAAAGTAAAATATAATAACGTAAACTATAGTACTAATCGAGCCTCCAATTGGTCATACTGAGTCTCTGTGTGCTCTTACCTCCCGATACATGAACTTATCGTGTTCCGAATGTTTGCCCTGTCGAAAACAAATGGCACACATAAAAGTGGATGCAGTTTCATCCAGTTGATCTTCACACAACTGGCATCGGTAAATGTTTCCGTAGATGGGACTCATACGACAAGTCATGCATACAGTCGACGGATGACATGCTTTCATGATTGGCTGAATGGATTGCACCACAGGTGAAATAACAGTCGATCTTCCTCTACCCGGTTTGGCCTCACGTGGATGAATATTCTCGGTGATTTCGCGTAAAAGCATACCCAATTGTCCGAACTCCTCACGACAAATGGGGCACGGTACGCCTTCCGATAAATCTGGTAATAAATTAAAAGAGAAAACCAATTCATCCGATAGCCTAACTGAATGGGATGTGTTTCACAATTTGATTGAACATGGCTTTTACACTGGAGTTCAAATTACATCAAATGAAAATGAAATAAAGATGGTTGTTTCGAAATAATGATAACTTTGAGAAAACTAAAACAAGCCTTTCCCGAGATTAATCTCAAAAGAAAAGACCATATGGCAATACTGCACGATTTATGTCCAGGACGATTTCGCCGCATCTCAACATGTTGAATACTGCAGAAAATACAGTGTTCATATAGGGCTTTAGCATTGCAACAAAGTAAAGCAAAACACATTAATAACAGACAAAACATAAAAGAGAGAGGGGTAAAAGGACCAATATCNCGGCCCAGTAGGTCGCTCCGCAACCACATTGGAATTGGTAGATTAGATTAGAGTTGGCGTACAGAGGCAAACGTTCTTTTACCGGGGGTGTGGGTATCCTGGTTGTTCGGTAGACGATTTGGGGGCTAGCTGCATAGTAGGTTCAAGCGATTGTTGACCTCAGTCGTTTGTAGAGCAGGCGGCTTACGTCATCGGTTCTTTCGCAATTTGCGGTTTGCTATGCTTATTAACAAAGCTAAAAGCTCCCGGAGGTTTTGCAGTTCTTGTTCAATTCTGTATTCCGTGCAGATTCACCTCGTTCTGTCAAATAAGGTCCGAACAATACCACGTTTATACTCCAGGGGCTCTCGAAGTGTAAATATTGGCCTGTCCACGTTTCCTTTCGATAAACGGATCGAGCAATCATTCCGTTTTCTACCAACTCCAATGTGGTTGCGGAGCGACCTATGTGGGCCGAACAGAGCGACAGTTACGCAATCGGGTGGTGGAACATATTCCGAATTGGGTGCAAAATCAACTGACCCAATTGAGGTCAAGTCCGCTGCATAGAAAATACGGTCGAAACTACAAGACCCCGTCCTCAACAATTGCTCGACATCTGCTGATGACGCAACACCAAGTCGACCGAGGCACAGCGTTTCGAGTTGTTTACAAGTCACAAGTCGCAAGATTGCTAAGGTTTGCCGAAGCGATTGCGATTAATCGATGGAAGCCCCCTCTGTGCTAGCAAAAAGAACTTAATGTTAGTCTCTCCCTACCCTGGTGATATTGGTCCTTTTACCCCTCTCTCTTTTATGTTTTGTCTGTTATTAATGTGTTTTGCTTTACTTTGTTGCAATGCTAAAGCCCTATATGAACACTGTATTTTCTGCAGTATTCAACATGTTGAGATGCGGCGAAATCGTCCTGGACATAAATCGTGCAGTATTGCCATATGGTCTTTTCTTTTAAAATAACTTTGAGATCGATCCTATGTCGACGACAATCTGTAACAAGACTCTAATTCCGTTCTCTGATTTTGTTCACTGTAACCCGTGTATTCTACACAAACACTCGCAGAAAGAATGAAACCCCGTTATTGAAATAGGGCTAGCACGGATTTCATCTGACTGTCTAATAAATTCTGGTACTTAGGAGTCCTCACGCCTAATGAAAGTGACCTGGAATGTAAAACTTCTGTTGATTATCTTATAGATATTGAATAGCTGATTAAAGTAGCTGAAACAATCAGAAGTTCAAAATAACATAATTTGTATGTGTGTACATTTAGGAAACGTTTCCAACCGTTTGTTTAGCTTTCCACAACCATTGCCCAGATATGGGTCGCTGTCTTTTGGCTGCCCATTTGGATAAAAGAGCGAAATGAAGATTGGAATGTTGACAGTAAACTTAAGGGAAAAATCGAGAACTCAAATACACTGGGGTTGCAAGAATAATGAGCATGAGCGCCACTGTTGGCGACACCCAGCCATATCACTCAGTGTTTCTAACCACTGGTTATCATGATCTCGGTATCCCCATTCAATGAAACTGAAAGAACAAGTAACACAATATGAGCAGAACTGATATTGGCCATCAATTTCGCGTGCTCTCAGTCAGCTGTCTACGCACATTAAATAGGTCAAATTTTATCTTAAGAATACCATATATGGACATTTTACAATTACATGGAGTCAAGCAGAAGGCACTGAGTGTTTGAGTCATTACCAAAGTCGTTTGAGTATGAGGAGAAGGGGTGGGGAATGTTAGCATAGAAACAGTTACGTAACGGAAAATGATTAGCAATGGTGGAAAGAGAGTTAGACATGGTTATGTAATACGAAAAAGATACAACCAGAAATGAATTCGAATAGACGCAGAAAGTTAACCAAGTAAAAAAATGTTCATATAAGTAGGTCAAAGAGAGTTACGCAATGAGAAAATGAGAAGAGCGAAGTGTCAACGATGATGTAAGAGGACGGTTGAGATGATGGGAAGGAAAGGGGAGGGGAATTACCATGGTAACAACACTTGCATCAAAAAGGCCTTTTGCACGCATACGTTAGGCTTTAAACGGCTAATGACAACCGCTTCAACACACCTAAGCATCCTTGGGCTTCGTACTTTGAGCACAACGCGGAAAGCTTTGCGTTTGTCGATGCAGTGTCCGGGATCCAGCAAATGTCATGCCACTGCGCTTGCTGGAAGCTTTCCTCCCCTAAATGATAAGCTTTTCGGAACATGCTCACTCATTCTGGTCGACAGTCGGCGTTCAATCCTTCCGACGTACTGCGAACCGCAAGCACATTGAAAAAGATAAGTGCAATTGGAGGTAATCGAATCATTGGATTTGTCTATGTCTGACCGCATTAATGAGTTCATTGTTCTGTGAATCATGATCAGTTTCGCGGCAGGATAGGTGGACTCAACCGTAGTACGAAGCCGACGACCAACCCGTGCTATTGCATCGTCTCCTTTAAATGGCACACCAATGAAAACTGGTTTTCTTTTCGACCGGAGTGTATGTTGGCCTGAGAATGGAAGGTGTGCAATATTTCTCCATAAAAGGCACGGGATAACCATTAGAGGACAAGGCAATCGTCAAATCTCTCTGTTCACTTTCTATCACTTCCGGACTGCACCGATGACGAACTCTGTAGAACAAGGTTCTTACCAATCCAATCTTGAACCGTAGAGGACAAAAACTTTAGAAATGTAAATACTGGCCCGTCCATGTACACTTGTGATGAATTGAGGTCAGGAGCGTACCATTCTTCAGTCTTATGAGTTGTAGGTCTGGGAATGGCAACGAGCCATTAGTCTCACATTCCAAAATGAACTTGATATTGTTGTGCACCCCGTTCAATTTGTCAAACAAAACTATGGCAGCTGTTTTGTTTGAGGTTATTACCAGTGTGTCATCGACATAACGACGATAAAACACTGATGACTTGAGATCACTTTCAATGTTGTTCTCAATTTTGGGCATGAATATATCAGCTAAAATTGGTCCAAGTGGGCTTCCCATGGCCACTCCATCTATCTGACGGTAGATTGTGCCATTGAAAACAAACTGCACACAATTTCAATAGGGTTCTCAATTCAGTTGCCTCAAATCCAATTTCACTAGTATATTTACAAACTTCCTCCACGGCTTCCGTCACTGGTACGTTCGTGAATAGCGAAGCAACATCATAAGATGCAAGGAAACATTGGCGATAATCAATATCCGGTTATGTATCCTTCAAATGGAGAGAATCTTTTAACCCGAAATGGGAAAGTTTCGTACAGATGGGACTGATCTGTCTGGCCAATCACTGAGCTAATTTGTGTTGAGACGAGTTGATCATTGACAGAATCGGGCGCAAAGGAACCCATGGTTTATGGAGTTTCGGTAAACCATAAATATGTGATATTCGTGTTCCACGAGGTCTCAGATCATTTAATGTACTAGTAGTAATCACTCCGCATTTCCAAAGCTGTTTCAAGTAGGCACTGATCCTTTTCTCTGTTACCTCAGTATTGTCCTTCCTCTTTGGATCCACTTGAAATCGGTCACCATCACCACCATTTTCGTTTGACGAAGTTTCGACCCTCTTGGAAGGCCTCTTTCAAGAGAATCGAAACGTCATCAACCGAAAATTGTTGTTTTTGGTTTTCTCTCGTTATGGCTAATCCAAATATTCCTATATGGATCTAATACTATGCGCACAACGCACAATTTCTTCAAAGAAATCTAATTTTGTTCTATTCGTAGTGCGATTCAGATGGAGGTCTTAACTTTGAGACTCATCCCTTCGTAATGCTAGCTTGTTCATTGTTAGAACTGAACCGAGACTATCGTGATCAAAATCACCCTGATAAATGCTCAGAGTACAAAATGTACCACTTAGGAGTTACAAGGGGCGGACTGGACTGATGAAAAATACCAACAAGAAAGCCATTGTTGCCTAACTATGCATTTCTGAGCTGTCACTGGTCACAGGTGGTACAGCCGAGCGTCGTAAACAGTAGCGTTCGTGTATTGTTTCAACTTATTTGTGACCTTAGTCTACTGAAATTCATCATTTTCTCTCGGACTTTACTTTCAACTTTTCTATCTTTCGCCAACTGCTTCATCCAAGTGGGCGGCCAAAGGACAGCAACCAAGATCGATTCCCCGAAGGGTATGGTTAGAGATTGTACAAACTGAGACAAACTGAAAAAATCGTCAATAATCTCACCGGACGGTGGTGGCCAAGTGGCTAAGTCACCAACTAGTGATCTGAGTGTCCTTGGTTCAAACCGCTCCACCGCAACCCGTCTTCCCTGTATCTGTATTTTCCCCCAAACAGCCTTTATATGACCACAGCCCCCTTCCAGAAAGTTGACTACATTTGTACATTTGTATATTCAACAAATAGAAAAATGAAGTAAAAAGTAAAAAAGCAACACCAGCGCGCTCCAAATATAATCAGCTTTGTTGCTCGGGGTCCTCCCTCTCCCCGTTACATTCATTCCCATACAAACAAATTAGACACACCCATATGCTTTTACATGCATTTGAATCATTTGACATTTGTTGAATGACCTGAACTCCCATGCACAACCATCAACCACACGCACTTGCGTGCGCCGGTTTTGGTTGCTATCTTTTAGTTGCCCATCTGGAAAAAAACAGCAGAATGATGATTAGAATGTTGAGAGCAGATTCAAGCGGAAGATAGCACATTTTCATAGACTGAAGTTACAAGAGTAATAAATAGATGCATGAGCGTCACTGTTTGCGACACCCAGCCATATCACTCAGTGTCTCTAACCCTCGGTGACTATGATCTCTGGGTTCCCAGCCAGGGAGCCTAATGGGACCTATGTGAGCCAGACTCCCGGCAAGCATCGTTCACCGTAGCAATCTATCCGGTGACGTGCGTAGTACATGTCCCAACCAGCGTAATCTACGGAGGTCGACTACCTGTTCCAGTGGACGACCGCGATTACCTAAAACTCTAACCTCAGCATTGCTCGTCCGGTTTTCCCACCAGACTCGTACAATGCGACGTATAGAGCGGTGTTTGAACACCGACAATCGATTTTTATCCTGTTCCCGTATTGGCCAAGTCTCTGCACCGTATGACAGAACTGGCCGAACTCCTGCAGCATATACTCGACCCGTCTTTGAAGTTTTGTGCTACAGTATGGTTAAAATGTCTTTATGAATAAATATCTTTTCACTTCCTTTTTCATTTATTGTTTATATAAATGTACAGTCAAATTTCAGAAAGGGAGCTGCAACCGTACAGAGGCTGCCTGAGAAAATACGGAAACTGGAAAGGTAAGCGGTGATGGAACGGATCAAATTCTGGACCCCTGGGTCACAATTTGGTGACCTAACCACTAAGCTATTACTGTCCATGGTTCTTATTACGTATTCTGTACTGTTGTTTGCGATTCACGAAATCACTCATGAACCGTTCCAGCTCAAAACCCTATCTTCCTGCCCGCATCCCTCCCCCCATCCCCACCCCCACCCCGAAAAAAAAAAGTTGTAACTCACTGATGGATTTCTGCTTTCTCTGATGATCCGTCCAGACACGCATGCAACGAATATGCACACTGTTCCCGCATCCCCTGCGACAATACGTGACCGGATAGCGTTGCTCTCCGAGCAGTTCATCCTGACAAATAGCACAAACGTCTTCCGGTTCTATGACTCTCTGACGTACCTGACTCAGACCATAATGGGGATAATACGGATATCACACCTTACCTGTCCGTCAGTTTGCAAGTCATCTTCCGGGATCTCCGGGATCGACTTCGATGCAGTTGGTTGATTAATCCGTGCATGTTTTCCATCGAGCATGTCTTGAATTTCGCGTTCGACCAAACCTAATTGCCACGCCACTAAATGAAATTTGACAGAATCAGGATATAACAAATGACGAGTAATGGAAAAGAAACTACTATTCTCGGACACAGTGGCATATAGTATTCCATGGTTCATAACGTGTGTTTACTTTTGAACAATCTTTTTTTTTGTTACACACCTAAGTGTGATGAATAGCAGACGGGTTGGACCGCATAGTCACGAGGGCCTGCTGTTTAAAGTGATGGAAACCGGTAAACTATACCCCGGGTCTTAGCGCGGGGCCCCGATAGGTTAGGCATGGTACTGAACCGGAAGACAGCAAAGCTGACTACCACCAAAGTCAGGTGGTGGTGGTGGTGGTGGTGGTGGTGGTGGTGGTGGTGGTGGAGCGGGT